CCCTAGTTTTGTTACCCTTTTACTGCATGTTCAAATGGTACATAGCTTACATTGGAATGTTTTGAGTTGTATTTTATAGGTTGTTTTTCTACTTAACATAATTTGGGATTTATTTATGTCATTGTACACTGTCCACTTATTTTTATAGCCATTTGGTTAGTTCATTGTACTAATAACACCTTAGTGTTAATGAATTCATATTTTATCAGTGGGTCATCTGAGTTTCTAGTGTTTTGCCATTGCAAGCAGTTTAGATGTGACCACCTTGCACGTGTCTTACTTTATAATTTTGTAAGTTTAATAAAATTTCCCCTCATTTTCTCTCCCTCTCCCTCTCCCTCTCCCTCTCTCTCTCTCTCTCTCTCTCTCTCTCTCTCTCTCTCTCTCTTACCAGGGATCACACTCAGGACCTTACACTTGTGAGGGAGATGGTGAGGCACCACTGAGCTACATCCCCGGCCCACTTTTTCCTTTTTTATGCAATTCAGGGGATCAAATCTAGGGCCTTCTGCCTGCTTGATAGGCCCTCTACCACACTGAGCTTTACCCCCTAGGTCCCCTAACCCTATTCTTTGGTGCTAGGGGGTTGCACCCAGGCCTTGAGCATACTACGCACATACTGTACCACTAAGCTCCATTCCCAACCTCCTCATTATTTATTGTTGTTTCTTTGAGACAGGATCTCACTGTGTAGTCCAGACTGGCCTTGAACTCCCAGCAATCCTCCTGCCTCTGCCTTGCATGCTGGGGTTACGGGCATACACCACCACACCTAGCCTCATTATCATTTTCATTTGCATTTTCTGATTACTAGTGAGACTGAGCATCTTTCATATACCCACTAGCCTTTTTATTTATTTTTTATTTTTTGTTTTGAGATAGAGTCTCGCTATATACTTCAGGCTGGCCTTGAGCTCACCATGTAGCCCAGGTTGGCCTTGAACTCGCAGCCATCTTCCTTCAGCCTCCCAAGATCTGGGCATACAGGGGTGCATCACCATGCCCAGCCATCACTGATTTTGAAATGTGTCTCTTTAGATAGCATTTATTGGCCCATTTATCTTATTTTTAATTGACAGATACAATTGTATGTATTTACCAGGTACAACATATTGCTTATGTATGCATTGTGTAACATCTAATTAGCATATGCACCATTTCACATAGTTATCACTTTAGTGGTGAGAATGGGTCGTTTTACAAATTCCACTCTGCCAATCTGGTGTTATTTACTCCCCCCACCCCCCGTATCAGGGATTGAACTCAGGACCTTGCGCTTACTTGCCAGGCAGGTGCGGTGCCACTGAGATAGATCCCCAGCCCTGGTGTTACTTAGTTTTGAGACAGGCTCCTGCTATTGCCCGGGCTGGTCTTGGATTCCTGGACTCAAGTGATTCTCCCACTTCAGACTTCCTGTGCTGGGATTACAGGAGCCACCATCTTTTTTTGTTGTTTTTTTTGGGGGTGGGTGGGTTTGGTACTGGAGATTGAATTCAGGATCTCGAGCTTCTCAGGCAGGTGTGATGCCACACTGAGCTTCCTCCCTGGCCCTCACCAGTGTTTTTTAATTGGTATGTTTAAACCACTTGCTATTAATATAATTATTGTATGGTAAGTCTGCCATTTTCTTTTTGTATTTTGTTTGTTTTCTCTGTATTTGTTTCTTTTTCCTGTATTCTAGTAGGTTACTTGAATACTTTTTAGAATTCTGTTTATGTATTTTATATATTTGGGTGTGTGGCCTTTTTAGTGGTTGCTCTGGGTTTGACATTCTGTATACACAGTATTGTCTATTAGTGTCATCATTTTACCACTGTGAATAAAGAGAAACATTTCCAGGGCCAGGGATTTAGCTCAGTGGTGCTGTACCTGTCTGGCAAGTGCAAGGTCCTGAGTTCGATCCCCAGTACTGGGTGGGGGGCTTTCCATTCATTTACTCTTTCCTATTCTGAATACTAATTTAAATATTTCCACATTTGGGGCTGGGAATGTAGCTCAGTCAGTGGTTCTGCCCCCTGCCTCACAAATGCAAGGTCCAGAGTTTGATCCTTGGTACCCAAAACAAACAAACAAACAAATAAAGCCACATCTGGTGGACTTATACTTTTATCTTCAAGTATAAGACATAACTTAGAAGATGTAAGAGGAGAAGGAAATCTTATTGTATTTCCTTGTATTTTGTTTTCTGTCCATATTTTTTTGCAGTGTTTCAAAGTTTATTTCTTGTTCAATTTCAGTTTAGATAACTTTTGAATCTATTCTTTAGTGTAAGTCTGCTGGTGAGATTTTCCTTTCTCTGAGGATGTCATGACTTTCCTGGGTATTGGGTTCTCAATTGACAGCTCTTCTTTTAACTTTTTCTTTTCTCAGTAGAGGGGATGGAACTCAGGACCTGGCACTTGCCAGGCAGGTATGGCGCCACTGAGCTACATCCCCAGTCTTCTTTTAACTCTTGAAAAATATTATGCCAATTTCTTCTGGTTTCTGGCATTTCTGGTGAGAATTCTACTGTCATTCAAATTGTTTTACCTCTTTAAGAAAGCTTTTCTTTTTCCCTCTGGCTGCTTTTAAGATTTTTTAAATTTATCTTTAGTTAGCAACAATTCATGATGTATCATGACACGAATTTTGAATTTTATTCTGTTTGGGGTTTGCTTGGCCTCTTAGATATGAGTAGACTTCTTTGGCTTTTGCCAAGTTTGGCAAGGAAATTTGTCAGCTGTTGTTTTCAATTCTTTACTCCGGTTGTAACCACACAAATGGGTGGGATAATCTTTCAGAGCCCCCACACAGCCTAGTTGTCAGCGCTCTTCCGGTTGGGCTCCTGGGATAAACCTGACATTTCCCATGGGCTTGAAGGCCTGTGGTACACACGGGACTCCTATTGGCTGCTCGTACAAATGGATCGAATCACTTATATTGCTGTTTTTACTAATAATATTAATACAAAGTCCATAAATGGACTGAATCTAGTTAGCTGCTTGAATGTGAATAATTACTGTCCAAATATAAACATACATTTACAACTGCTCTACCACAGATTAACTGTATTACAATTTATCATGCCATTGTAATGTTTGCCTTAAGGAACTGTAATATGATGGCATCTGGTCTAAGTCAGTGCCTTCCTTTGCATTACTGTAATCAAAGACAAGATCAGGCTCTCTTTCCTTTGGCTCAAGCCACCTGATGGGGCCACCATGGGGATACCACACGTGGTCGGAGCTGTGGGACATCAAATTCAAATCAGAGCCACCCCTCAGTGTGACACAGGATCAGGGGCATTGGCTAATGACTCATGTATTCCAAGATGCCCCGCCCTGACTTCTCCGCTGTCTGAGGTGTGAGAAATGATGTCTGTTTTAGTGGTCCTGAATTTTGAGCCTAGAGACACTACTGCTGAGCTACTTCCTCAGCCCTTTTCATTTTGTTTGTAAATTTTGAGACAGGATCGTTCTAAGTTGCCCAGGCTGGTCCCAAAACTGTGATCCTCCTGCCTCAGCCTCCCAAGAAGCTGGCTTTACAGGTGTGCACTACTGTGCCCAGCAAGGTAGTGTGTTCTGGGGGGGAGGAACTGGCAGCCATCCTGGCTATTTTGAAATCATTTCCTCTTCTTTCTTTTCACAACGTTTCTCTCATTCACTGTGCTCAGAAATACAGGGGCTGAGGGCTGCAGCAGACAGAAGCCCTCCAGGAGTTAATGGTGGAAGCGGCGGTGTCTGGCGGAGCAGGAATAATGCCGAGGGGTTCAGCCCGGGGAGGGGGGTGCCGCGCCTGGGACTTGGAGTGCCCTGGGCGAACACGGAGGGAGGAGCTTCTGCGGCAAAGGCCGTGATAGTAACGACGGAAGCTGGAGCGTGAGCGGGAGAGGAGCCGGCGGGACTGCAGAGCCGGCCTGGATCCGAGGGAGCACCCGGCGGTCACGGGAGGATTACTGTCTTTGTAAACTGGCTGCTTGGCCAGGATGGGGCCATGTGGGTTCATTCCAAGAAGTGGAGGAGGCTAGTGTTTGAGAGTCTGGCTCCCACTTGAGCGAGTACAGCCCCCATGCCTTCCAGGCCATCTTCAGGAGCCCTTCTTGGGTGGCAGGAGTTCATTTGACAGCTAAGAAAGAGCATGAAGGGCCGGGGATTTAGCTCAGTGGTGCCGCCTGCCTTTCAAGTGAAAGGTCCTGAGTTCGATCCCTGGTACCAAAAGCGGGGGCGCAGGAAGAGCTCACAGTCTCACCACCCCGAGAGTTAGGTATGGGATCCAAGGCCGGCTTTCTCTACCAAGCGGGCAGGTTGTCTTCTCCAGACATTTGGAAAGTTTGAAACCTCTCGGGGCAAATGGTGTTTATGACGCCAGGCCTCGAGGCAGGAGATGAGCAGAGGACCGCGGTGCACTGTCGTCCTCCATAGCCCAGTAAACTCCGCCCTCCTGCTGTCCCAGGGTGGGAGCAGGGAGGAGGCCAACAATTTCGCAGCCCAAACCCTCATTTCTCCAGTGGGAACCGGAAGTCAAGCGTGGCTGAGCCCCTTGTTACGGGCAGGGTGTGATCCACTCTGCCTTGCTGGCCCGGCTCTCTGGCTGCCGACCGACTGTAGCTGCCTCAGGAAGGACGTCCTAACCTGCCCTAACCTCGTAAGGCGCGTCCGTCACTTCCTGGCTGGTTCAGGGTCAGCCATCCCGGGTGCCCCTCCCTGATCCGGGAGAGGCAGTCGGAGCAGTGCGCCTCTGTAGTCCTAGAACCAGGGCAGCCCCTCTGAGGCAGGATGGCCAGGCTGCCGTCCAGTCTGTGGGCAGAGGACAGAGTGCTGTCAGCTGGCCCTGGCACCCTGGTGAGCTGGTCCTGAGCTAGCGACACCGCCTCTGGGACACCAGCTTTCCTTGTCCGTGACTTGGCCGAGGATAAGCAGCCCATGGCACAGTGTTGGCAGAGGCGCCCTGCACTGGGAGTACTTTGTGCCCATAGACAGTGATGGTAAGGGTTACTACTGCTGTCGTTGTCATCATATTAGGGCAGCGTGGACGTCCTCAGGCTGACTCTCCAGCACGAACTGACAGGAGAGGAACTTGAGCGCGTAGCCCAGAAGGTACTGAGGTTTCGGAGCCGTCCTCCTCCTTGTGCTGGTCCTCACCCTGGTGCTGCCTCGGCCGCCTCTGCTCCCGCCAGCTTGGGAGCATCCAGCCATGCTGCTTGGTGGGGTGGGAGGTCCCCACTAAAACTCAGGCTCACCTGCAGCTTCTACTAATGCTCCCCGTCCGGTGTTCCCGGTGCTGTGTGGGTTTTAGTAGAGGCTCTCAATGAGTTTTGGAAGGAAAGTCAGGGTGGTGCGTCGGTCTTTCGAGGCGCAGGGGCTCTGGCTTGGGAGCAGTTCATGAGCCGCCTCTCTCTGTCTGGCAGGCGGGCAGGAAGACCTACGCCATGGTGTCCGGCCGCTCGGCTGGTCATTCTCTGGCCTCAGAGCTGGTGGAGTCCACTGACGGACGCGAGGAGATCATCAAGGTGAGCTTAGCTTTCGCCCTCCGAGCACACGAGGGAGGCTGCAGTTTGGCTGGAAGGAGCCGGACCTGAGATGCTGGTTGCTGGCCACCTCCCAGAAAGGCCCGAACATCAGAGACCACAGTGGGCCTGGAGTGACCCTGGGAGAGGGCGTGGGGTGACCTTTCTAGATGCCTGTCCCCTGAGCCTGTTCTCAGTTGCTGCAGGCTGTAGACACAGGTGGGAGATGCATTTATAGAATTTATCCTATTGTGTGTGTGTGTGTATGTGTGGTACTGGGGATTGAACCCAGGACCTCACACATGCTATGTCCTCAGCCCCTTTTTAAAATTTTATTTTGAGACAGGCTCTCTCCCTAAGTTGGCCAGGCTGGCCTCAGACTCAAGACTTTCTTGCCTCAGCCTCCCAAGTAGCTAGGATGATAGGTGTGTGCCACCATGCCAGGCTATGGAACTCACTCATAGGATTAATAAAACCTTTTAGCCAGCATGGTGGTTCACACCTGTTATCCCAGGACTCAGGAGGCTGAGGCAGGAGGACCACAAGGTTGAGGCCAGCCTGCAGCTACATACTGAGACTCTATCTCCCAGAAACCTCCCAAACTATATAAATAAGTAAACAAAATAATTCTTGTTATTTCTCTCATTTCTTTATGTATGTATGTGGTACTGGGAATTGGACCCAGGGCCTCATATATGCTAAGCAAGTACTCTACCATTGAGCTGCATCCCCAGCTGCAAAGTATCTTTTTTGTTTTTTTAAGGTGGTATGTGGGAATTGAACCCATGGTCTTAGCACATACTGGGTGAGTATATTCTACCACTGAGCTATATTCCCAGTCCTTATTTATTTTCAAAAAGTAGCATTTTGAAAAAGAAAAATATAAAGTAGCTTTTTGAGATATAATTCATGTGCCAGGCAACTGACCCAGTTAAAATATTCAATTTGGTGGGTTTTGTTACATTCAACCACTTTTTTTTTTTGGTACCAGGGATTGAACTCAGGACCTTGTGTTTGCGAGGCAGGTGCAGTCCCACTGAGCTACATCCCTGGTCCTATTCAACCACTTTTAATTCCAGAACATTTCATTATTTCATTCAATAGATATTCACTAGATGGGCAGGGTGGCATATACCTGTAATCCTAGCATGTGGGAGGCTGAGGCAGGAGGATCACAAGTTCAAGTCTGGGCAACATAGTGAATTGAAGGCTAGCTTAGACTACATAGCAAGACTGTTTCAAATAAATAAGTAAATAAATAAATTATAATGAGGACAAAATAGGAACCATATGTTTTTTTTCTTGGAAAGAGGGTTAGAAGAATGCACACCAGACTACTCACTGCGGCTCCTACTCACTGTCACACAGAAGATTTAGATATTTTGTTCAAAACACAAAAACAGGCTGGCCGTGATGGCTCACACACCTGTAGTCCCAGCACTCTGGAGGGTAAGGCAGGAGGGTCACCATGAGTTTTGAGTTCTAGGCCAGCCTGAACTACATAGTGACATTTTGTCTGAAAAAAAACATAAAAACAAAACAGAACAAACAAACAAAAACAAAGCTGGACATGAAGGTGACATTTATAACCCAAGGACCGGGGATTTAGCTCAGTGGTGCTGCCACCTGCCTTGCAAGCACAAGGACCTGAATTTGATCCCGGGTACCAGGGAAAAAAAACTACTTCTTATATCTATAACCCAAGAGAACTTGGGAGGCTGAGGCAGGAGGATCACGTGAAGTTCAAGGCCAGCCTGAACTACATAGAAAACTTTGTTTTAATCGATCACCAAACAAAACAAAACACTTTGTTCTGCATACCATGCTTGAATCAACTGAGAAACTATTTCTATAGTATTCACATTATAAAACATATGCAAGTTAGTAAAATGTTCAGCAATGTACGTGGTTACAGAAGAGTGGAAACAGACCAAGTGCCCGACAGTGGGTGATCCTATACATTATGGTTAGTCTTTAATAGAATGTTATGCAGCCGTTAAAATGCCAGCTATCTACATTTGTGCCATGAAAGTGTTGGAGGGGAGATGATAGACTACAATGATATAATTTCATTTAAAAACTCATAAATATGGGGAAATGTCTGGAAGGTTACACAGTAAGGTGTTAACAGTGGCTACACCAATAGGGTTATAAGGTAGTTTTATTTTCTTCAAAGGGTGTGCTATGACTTTGAATAAGAAAAAGAAATTTAAAAGGACCATCAGATTGGAAAGAAAGAAGTAAGACTATCTGTATTTGCAGAAGATATAGCCATGTATATAGACTGGCCTGAGATCCACTCAAAACCAACAAAGCTTGGGCTGGGGATTTAGCTCAGTGGTTCCGCTGCCTGCCTCGCAAGCACAAGGACCCAAGTTCAATCCCCGGTACAAAAAAAAAACAACCAACAAAGCTTATGGAATAAATAAGCAAGTTCAGCAACACTGGAGGATACTAAGCCAGTATACACAAATTAGTTGTATTTCTAAGCTAGCAATTAATAATCCAAAAATGAAATTAAGAAAACAATTCCAAAGCCAGGTGTGGTGGTACACACCTGTAATCCCAGCCCTCTGGAAGCTGAGGCAGGAGGATCGCTGTAAGTTGGAGACCAGCGTGGGCTACATAGTGAGTTCCAGGTCAGTCTCAACTGCATAGTGAGACCCTGTCTCAAAACAAACAAACAAACAAACAAACAACAAAAAAGCACAATTCCATTTACAATACCAAGGGGGGAAAAATCCTTGGAAATAAATTTAACAGAAGTTAAGACTTGTGTGTTAGTTACTTATCTCATTGGTGAGACAAAATACCTGACCCCAAAGTTAAAGGAGGAAAGGGGAATTTAGTTCTGTTTGTAGAGGTTTCACTCCATAATCCACTGGCTCCACGTTGGGGGATATACCACAGAGGAGGAGCAGTTCATGCACCAGAAGGGAGCAACCACAAGGGGACCTGTCCAGGGTTTTTCTGCCCCTTTTATCCTGTCTGGAAGACCTGGATCAGGGCGGTGCCAAACCAATCTGTACCGTTTTAGTAACCACACACCCTGAATCCCAGCATTGCACACTGCAGACTCAGCCACCTCTGAAGAGGCCACCTTCCACTACACGAGGCTTTGCGGGGACACCTAGACCTAAACCGTAACAGCTTGTATTAAAAAAGAAAACTGCAAAATGTTAAAGGAGGGCCAGGAATTTAGCGCAGTGGCACTGAGTTCCATTCCTGGTACCAGAAAAAAAAAAGTTAAAGGAAATCAAAGAAGACCTAAAAAAAAAAAGAAAGAGAGAGAGAACATGCTATATTCGTGAGTTGGAAGACTCTATACAGTTAGTGGCATACTCCAATTAACCTACAATTTCAGAATAGTCCCTATCAAAGTCCAAGCTGCTTTCTTTCTACAAACCGATAAACTAATCCAAGAATTAATATGGAAACACAAGGAACTCTGAATAGCAAACAAAATAAAACAAAAACTGAAAAAGAACAAGGCTGCAGGACTCATATCTGCCAGTTTCAATATTTACTTCACAGCTAGGGTAACCAAGACAGAGTGAGCTGGGTGGGGTGGCATATACCTGTAATTCCTAGCACTCTAGGGGGCTCAGGCAGGAGGATGGCAAGTTCAGACCCAGCCTGATCAATTTAACAACTTAGCCAGATTGTGTGTCAAAATAAAAATAAAAATAAAAAAGGGCTAAGAGTGCAGCTTAGTGCAAAAGCCCTAGGTTCAAGGTCCAGTAACACACACACACCCACACCCACAGACACACACACACACACACACACACACACAGAGGACAGTACCTGCATATGGACAGACATGTAGATCAATAGAATAAAATTGAGACTTCAATAATAATAGCATAATAATAACTCAACTGATTTTTGCTGAGAGTACCAAGACAATTCAGTGGGGCAAAATAATTTTTTCAACAAATTGTGCTGAGTACTCACATATCAAAAAAAATGAAGTCCAGGGCTGGGGATTTAGCTCATTGGTCTGCCACCTGCCTCCCAAGTACAAAGTCCTGAGTTCAATCCCCAGTACAAAAAAAAAAAAATGAAGTTGGACTCTTTCCTCATAGTATATTTCAAAAGTTAACCCAAAATTGATCATAGAGCTATTCATAAGAGCTAAAAGTACAACTCGTAGAGAAAATACGAGCATAAATCTTAGGTTTGGCAAAGCCTTCACAGATATGAACACTGACCGTATAGACAACAAAATTAAAAATACATAAACAGAACTTGATCAAAATTAAAAACTTCTGTGTTGAGCCAGGCATGGTGGCGCATCTGTAATCCTGACACTCTGGGAGGCTGAAGCAGGAGGATCAAGTTGAAGCCCAGACCGGGCAACTTAACAACTCAGGGAGACCTTGATTCAAAATAAAAACTTTAAAAAAGGACCAAGGATGTAGGTTAGTAGGAAGGCCCTGGTTCAATCCCCAATACAAAAACAAAACCAAACAAAAAGAGCTAAGGAAGTCAGAAGTCAGACATAAAAGATTATATGTGTGGGGCCGGGGATTTAGCTCAGTGGTTCGGGTACCTGCCTCGCAAGCACGAGGACCTGAGTTTGATCCCTGGTACCAAAAAAATAAATAAAAAAC